AGCCCTGCTGAGGTTTAAACACCACCAGGTAATCGTCAACATACCTGAAGACGTTCAAAAAACGATCATCTAACCTTTCTGCAATAGCACAATCACAACCTGCTAGGTAGATGTCGCTCAATATGGGAGCAACACTAGACCCATTGCAGATCCCGGATTTTTGCAGAAACGTGTTGCCCTCAAAAGAAATAAAAGTAGACTTTAAGTAAAAGCGGAGAAGATCCAAAAACTTTTCCACAGCAATACCAGTCGAATTCTGGAAGGCAACAGAACCGTTTAAGTCAATGCAAAGTTGAACCGCTTCAATGAGACCTCCATGAGGAATAGAGTAGAAAAGGTCTTCCACGTCAATTGAAACCAGATCACAAGTTCCAGGGTTGTCATTGCTCAGATAATCTACCAATTCTTCAGAGATTCGAATTAAAAAAGGATCAGTTAACTTCAAAGAAGATAGGTGATGCTGGAGATACTTCGAGACATGCAGCTGCCATGACTCTCTCTGTGTAACAATCGCCCTGAACGGCATAGTGTCCTTATGGGTCTTCACAGAGAAGAAAACCTCCAGATTGAGACCACGAGCCGCCTGGAGAGACTTGCTGAGCCTTTCTAAACCAAGCTGCTTACAAAGTTGCTCAGCACGCGTCTTCACCTTGCCCAGTACCACATCTGGAACAGGTTTGAAATTTTTTGACACGGCTTGTGTAGACTTTTCCTTAAATATATGTTCTGGCACAACTACAAATCCTCCCTCCTTATCTGAAACCAGCAGCTTTAACTTACAGTGTTTGAAAAAAGAAACAATAGGGCCGAAATGAAATCGATGTACAGATTTCCTGGTGTCCCTACGTAAGCTTTCTACACCCATAAGGATACACATGTCGTTTTTCTCAGCAACAGTCTTCTCAGCTATCCGTCTCACAAGGGAGAGCATTTCCGGGGGCTTCACGAGGGGCTCAGTAGCATACTTTGGGCCCTTATTCAATATGTTTGTGATAGAAGCAGGTGCAGTTGCATCACCTAAAAACACAACGCTATTCCCTGCACGAGGCGGGTCTTTGTGTTTCTTAGGGAACGTGGAACGTAGATGCAGCCATAAGAACTCAGTAATACGTGAAGACTCCAATTGACACGCACGGAGTTTTCTCCTGGCGCTGTGTTCGTTAGTACACGTGTTATAAGACCACACTTTTAAGCAGTCATGCAGAAGTCTGACTTGCCTCCAATGTTCCGAGCGGAGAATCTTGCATACGCGCTTGGCATGTCCAGATGACGGAGACGTCAATCCAAAAATGCTTAATACCTCTAGGGGGTAATTGCCTTTCTTTGCAGCGTACCCATATTGCCTTGCTTTGCACGTAGAAACAGTGGTCTTATAACACGTGTACTAACGAACAAAGCGCCAGGAGAAAACACCGTGCGTGTCAATTGGAGTCTTCACGTATTACTGAGTTCTTATGGCTGCATCTACGTTCCACGTTCCCTAAGAAACACAAAGACCCGCCTCGTGCATGGAATAGCGTTGTGTTTTTAGGTGATGCAACTGCATCTGCTTCAATCACAAACATATTGAATAAGGGCCCAAAGTATGCTACTGAGCCCCTCGTGAAGCCCCCGGAAATGCTCTCCCTTGTGAGACGGATAGCTGAGAAGACTGTTGCTGAGAAAAAAGACATGTGTATCCTAGACTGTGTAGAAAGCTTACGTAGGGACACCAGGAAATCTGTACATCGATTTCATTTCGGCCCTATTGTTTCTTTTTTCAAACACTGTAAGTTAAAGCTGCTGGTTTCAGATAAGGAGGGAGGATTTGTAGTTGTGCCAGAACATATATTTAAGGAAAAGTCTACACAAGCCGTGTCAAAAAATTTCAAACCTGTTCCAGATGTGGTACTGGGCAAGGTGAAGACGCGTGCTGAGCAACTTTGTAAGCAGCTTGGTTTAGAAAGGCTCAGCAAGTCTCTCCAGGCGGCTCGTGGTCTCAATCTGGAGGTTTTCTTCTCTGTGAAGACCCATAAGGACACTATGCCGTTCAGGGCGATTGTTACACAGAGAGAGTCATGGCAGCTGCATGTCTCGAAGTATCTCCAGCATCACCTATCTTCTTTGAAGTTAACTGATCCTTTTTTAATTCGAATCTCTGAAGAATTGGTAGATTATCTGAGCAATGACAACCCTGGAACTTGTGATCTGGTTTCAATTGACGTGGAAGACCTTTTCTACTCTATTCCTCATGGAGGTCTCATTGAAGCGGTTCAACTTTGCATTGACTTAAACGGTTCTGTTGCCTTCCAGAATTCGACTGGTATTGCTGTGGAAAAGTTTTTGGATCTTCTCCGCTTTTACTTAAAGTCTACTTTTATTTCTTTTGAGGGCAACACGTTTCTGCAAAAATCCGGGATCTGCAATGGGTCTAGTGTTGCTCCCATATTGAGCGACATCTACATAGCAGGTTGTGATTGTGCTATTGCAGAAAGGTTAGATGATCGTTTTTTGAACGTCTTCAGGTATGTTGACGATTACCTGGTGGTGTTTAAACATAAGCAGGGCTCAGGAAGTGCTGACTTGGTCTCAGAGTTATTAGACACCTTTCGGGAGTGCTCTGGAGGTCTGCGGTTTACGAATAAGGTTCCAACTAAAAAAGCTTTGCAATTTTTGGACCTCAACATTCGTCTTGAAACGAGTCACCTGTGCTGGGCTTATGAGCCTAGAACAAAAAAAGTCCCTCCTTAGCTATGAATCTACGCACTCAAAAGTTGTAAAAAGAGCTATCGCAAAATCATGTTTGAGAGTTTCTTTATTGAAATCGTGTGTTCACAGAAGTTTCAACAGCTTTCTGTGTCAAGTAGATAGGTTAACAAAAGCGGGTTTCCCGAAACTTGTCATAGGGGGGGTAGCGGAGTCACTTTTAAAATTATTCAGGAATCCCTTAACGTACTTGACAATGTTAGACAAAAGCCTGCCTCTCGACCGGTGGTAATATCATATTTTCACAGTTTTTCCACAGGATCAAAAAAGTGGCTGTTAAATACGGAGTTCCCATAGTCTTTTCAGCACCTTCCAAGCTATCCCGTTTGTGTGCGTCTATTGAGAGAGCAGGACTTCAGCGTGTAGGGTGTGGAATAAACCATCGCATCAAATATGTAGCTTGTGCTGTGGGGGTCGTTTATAAAATACCCCTTTCATGTGGTAAAGTGTATATTGGGCAGACGGTCAGATGTATTAAAGTTCGAGCTCGGGAGCATTATCTGTCTTCGAGGTCTTCAGCTTCGGGTCACCTAGCCGTTCATTGTGATAGGTGTGGTTTTTCCCCTCGGTTAAGTGACATTGAAATTTTGGCTAAACATTCACAAAAAATGGCAAGGGAAATTCATGAAGCGTTTTACATTCGACAACACGGTCCCGATCTATGCGTCAGTTCAGAGTCAGTGTCATTATACAGTGAAGAGTTCGAGTTTCCTCGGAGTTTGGGCACGTTTCTTTAATACTTTCTTTCTGCTTCCATGGGAGTGATCCTATAACCACAGGCGCGTGCCTACATGCAGCCAGAAAAGGGTTCCGACATACCAAGAGTCCGCGTGCAAGACAGGTACGCACAGAGCATAAGGGCTTGCGCTGTGGTTTTTGGCTTTTTTTAATTTGGTTTTTGTAATGGTATATAATGTATAGTTTGTGTAAAAAATTCTTCAGATGGCATATTACAGAAAGGATGTCCTACATGCTGGATTCTTCTTCTTTTATTTTTCATTTCTTGTTTTCTTATGTTGATATGTTTTAAAATGAAGAGAAAGAAAGTAAGTCGTGAGTCAGCGCTGTGTCTGTGTCCCTTCTTCTACTTGTCCTTGTTTTCGTTTGCGCTGTTTTATTTCTATGTTTACAATGCATCACCGACTAGCCCATCTCCAAACATTATTGCTATTCATCGCTCGGGTTGGTATTTACATGGAAAGGTTTAAGACGGCATCTATAAGCCCAAAGTTATACTATCCCTACCATAATCCCACAACGTGAGATTATGGTTGAAGTTCATTCAGTACTAGTAACTCTGCAGCAAAAATTACTTGAATTCTTGCAGTGGTTTCACGCCAAAGTGATGTTATCCGATACGTGTGGACCTGCAAAGGCGAATTTCGGGGTTTACTTGCGAGACCAACGAAGGGTATTCCGCACGCCAGAAGAGGACTGGGAATTAATTACCCCCCCCCGCTCCCCCACCTCCCCCCGAGATCTTCTGACGTGGGACCAAAATCTTGTCTACATAGCACCTCCGCGATTAGCGTCCCTTACGCCGCATAGACAATGGCGGTCCAAACATGTTCGTAAAGCGGTTGCGGGGTTGCGGATGCGTTTGGTTAAATTTTCAGTAGAGTTAACCACTCACGCACCTTTTAGGATTACAACGAGCCGATCCTTTTCGCGGTTGAGATTCAAACGCCAGTCTGAATGCACCTTCAGAGTAGGGGAACCTCACCAGCGATTTGAGTCCGTTAGCTAGGGATCGGTAGGTCGGCACTTTGCCTCTGAGTCACCGAGGAGGCTGTATATGGTCCTGCACCACTTGTTTTAACCGGCAAGCAAAAATGTTAGGTCCACCCTGTGGTATCTGGAGTAACAGGCCGATGGGGTTCTTCGCTGGCACATCTTTATTGCAGGACTACCGGAGTACGACACATAGTCACGGGCGTGAGAGAGCGGCAGGATAGCAGCGGGTGGTGCAAACGGTGCGCTGGCTCAGATAGATATGGCGCCCAGGAACAGTGGCGCGAGACGCACGAGCGCGCGCTAGCTGTTGCCCGCTTATTGTGTCACCCATACAACACTCCCCCACACTTAGTTCAGCACAGTAATACCATTCGACGGCGTTCCAGTGCAATACTCACAAAGTAACACGATATGACAATTTAACAAAACACGAGAATAATTGAAGTTCTGGAAAGTACAAAGTACAGACATACTAAATACAAAATAATTACAGTTCTGAAAAAACACAAGGTCCTCGTCTTTTTCTCTTCCTTCTCAAGGCGAAAACCTATTAGGCGCACGCCGTTGCCGTTCGGGATACCGGCGCTGAATTTCTTGCGGCTGGGCTGGGGAACGACCGGAGACTGGAGTTGATCCCATGTCTTGTCCCTCTACCACCGGTGACCCAACTGGAGGCAGCTCGTTCACGAGTTCCCCTTGCCCTGGGGTTGGCGATGATGGCAGGACACTCGGTATCAGCAAACCACCTTCCTCCTCCTCTGGGGTAGAGCTCTCCCGCAACCGCAGGTGGTCTTGGTGTCGCCGCCACACGAAGGTCCCCCGCGGTGTGGTCACACGAAGCCTGTAGGAGACCGGTCCGGATCTAGCCATGACGACTCCGTGCAACCACCTCTCACCCGGCCGGAAGTTCTTGACGTACACCTTATCACCCGGCACGAAGTGTCGGTGTTTGCCACTGTGCTTCACCTGTAGCACGTCCTGCTTGCGGTGAACAGTTTCCTCTGCAGAGGGTCGCAGTCTGTCGAGACGGGTAGTGAGCCGCCGCCCAAGCAGCAACTCCGCAGGACTCTGAAGGGTTGTGGCGTGCGGTGTGTTTCTGTAAGCTAACAAGAAACTTGCTAGTCGACGGGACAGAGGCCGGCCCGGCATCTCTTTTCGTAAGGCCTCCTTCAGGGTGCGGATGAAACGCTCAGCCAGCCCATTACTTGATGGATGGTAGGGGGCGGTCCTGACGTGCCTCACACCGTTCTCTCGCAAGAAAATCTGAAATTCTTGGGAACAAAATTGGGGGCCATTGTCACTGACAACAACATCTGGCAGACCGAAATGACTAAACAGCTCCCTCAGCTTTTCAATAGTTGCTTCGGCCGATGTGCTGTTCATCACAAAAACCTCGGGCCACTTGGAGTGGGAGTCGACGCTCACCAGAAAATGACGGCCCTGGAAAGGTCCCGCAAAATCCAAGTGCAGCCTTTGCCACGGACGAGTTGGCCAGGACCACGGATGCAGCGGGGCTGGACCTGGAAGACTCTGCTGCTGTTGGCAGGTATCACACGACCTGACGCGATATTCAATATCCGCATCGACCTCCGGCCACCATACATAGCTGCGTGCCAGTTCTTTCATCCTTACGATTCCAGGATGCCCTTCATGCAGCTCGTCCAGTACGCGTTCGCGCAGTCCCTTCGGGATCACAACCCTCATTCCCCACAAAAGGCAATTCTGGTGCCACGTCAGCTCGCTTCTTCTTGCAGAGTAACGCTTCAGACAATCTTCTACTTTTGCGGGCCACGCACCGGCAAGGAACCTTGCCACTTGACAGAGCTCTTTATCTTTTGCTGTAAATTGTGCGATCTCTTGGCTGCTTACCGGAAAAGACTGCAGGCGGAGACTGAGAAACGCCGCGACGTCATCCTCGTAGTCTTCATCCTGAAACCCAGGAACTGGAAGTCGTGACAAGCAGTCCGCCTCCACGTTGAGTCGACCCGGTCGGTAAACCAATCGGTACTGATAGGCGGAAAGGGTAATAGCCCATCTCTGCAGACGTGCGGCAGCAATGCTCGGAATTCCCGTCTTTGGACCAAGAATGGTTTGCAACGGTTCGTGATCAGTGACCAACACGAAGGATCGTCCAAACAAGTAGATGTGACATTTCTTCACGCCAAACACAATAGCCAGTGCCTCCTTTTCTAGTTGGCTGTAGTTCTTTTCACTCGATGTCAAGGTTCTCGACGCAAACGCGATAGGCCGTGTGTCGCCGTTGGAGTACACCCTGGACAGGACGGCTCCGAGACCGTATGCCGAGGCATCACATGACACCTGAAGGTCTGCCTTGGGGTCGTAGTGTGCCAGGACAGGTGCGTCAACCAGAAGCCTCTTCACCATGTTAAAAGCGTCTTGACAGCGCTTGCTCCAGGTCCAGACGACATCTTTTCTTAGTAGCTCGTTCAGCGGTGCTATTGTGGTCGAGAGGTCTGGGAGGAACTTTCCGTAGAATGTCACCATTCCCAAAAACGACCGTAACTGTTTTGAGTCTTGCGGTCGAGGTGCATCGAGGATCGCTTGCACATTTTCTGCCAACACGGCTACCCCTTGCTCGCCGACTTGGTGCCCCAGGAACTTCAAACTTGCCTTCAAGAACTCACACTTTTCTTTCTTGACTCGGACGCCCTTGTCACTCAGTTTCTTTAAGACTTGCTCCAAATTCTTCAGGTGATCCCCGGCGGTCTTCCCTGTTACCAGGATATCGTCGAGATAGCAGGTTACTCCTTGAATTCCCGCCAGCAAGCTGTCCATTATCTTTTGAAACAGTGCTGGAGCTGAAGCGATCCCAAACGCCAAACGCTTGACGCGGAAGAGACCCTTGTGCGTGTTGATTGTCAGATAGGGTTGTGACTCAGGGTGGACCGGAACTTGCTGGTATGCACGACTTAAGTCTATTTTCGAGAAAACAGTCGCCCCAGCTACCGTTGCTAGAATATCTTCCAACCTTGGCAACGGGTACTGCTCCACGTCCAGGCATGGGTTTACCGTTGTTTTGTTGTCCCCGCAAAGGCGTACAGACCCATCCTTCTTCAAAACCGGGACAACTGGTGTAGCGTAGTCACTATGGGCCACCGCTTCAATGACACCTGTCACCTCCAGTCTCTTTAGCTCTTCTTCTACAGCTGGCTTCAGGGCGAACGGCATACTTCTAGCTTTCAGAAACTTTGGACTCGCACCTTCCCTTAAGCTTAGCCGAGCCTCTTCCCCTCGCATGCATCCGAGCTCGTCCTTGAACACATCCTGGTAGCGTATTAGGATGTCTTGGAGAGACGCTTTTACATCAACGCTGACCGCGTTTAGCGATCCCAAGTCAAACTTGAGCTTGTAGACCCAGTCTCTGCCAATCAAAGGTGGCCCATCTTCTCCCAGTACGTGAAGCGGAAGTTTTCCTTTGAAGTCTCGGTACTCTACGTCCACCGTCGCCACTCCTTTTGGCTTGACACGCTCGCCGGTGTACGTGCGCAGTATTAGTGACGCCGGAGACAGCTCTGTGCGAGGAAACAACGATTGGAACTGGCGTTTCGAAATGATAGACACGGCAGCACCGGTGTCTAGTTCCATCTGAAGAGGAGCGTTCCCGACCTTGAGCGTGTAGTAGAACGGCGCATTCATGTTTCTGTCTTGAAGCCCGTATATCGCTTCACTCTTTTCTTCCTCAGCGGAGAAGTTTCTGAACTGTTTTGCTCTGCGTGGTGTATTGGCCAGTGATGCTTTACAGAAACGTTGGAAGTGACCCTCACGGTTGCAGCGATAACAAATAGCGTTACGGTGCGGGCATGACGAGGCAATGTGCTTAGGGGACCCACAACGGAAACATTTGTCCTGAGCCCCCACTACCGCTTTCGGTTTCACCGCCGTCAGTTTCTGCAGTTCGAGTTGGTCGTTGTCCGCCTTATTATGACACGCCTGCACATTCATGGTGGCTCTTTCAATAGTTAACGCTTTTTCCACAGCTTTCTTGAATGTCAGGCTCTCATCTTCGGCAAACAAAACTCTCTGAATGTCAACACGACTCAGACCGCTGACGAATCTGTCTCTGAGGGTTTCTTCCAGGTTACTTCCAAAATTGCACGTCTGTGTCATTCTTTTGAGCTCGGCGACATATTTTCCGACCGATTCCCCTTCCTGTTGTTCTCTCTTATGGAACGTTGCCCTTTCTGCGATGACCGACGGCCTCGGCGACAAGTGGTTTCGCAAAACGGCCAGCACATCTTCAAAACTCTTCAATGCCGGGTCCTCAGGCGCTACTAGAGTCTTGAGCAACTTATACGTGTCAGCTCCTATGAGGCTTATGACCACGTCAACTCGGTTTGCGTCCGCTACCCCGTTCGCTCTCAAAAAGGCTCGCAACCTTTCCTCGTAGGATAACCAATCACACTTCGTGTCATCAAAAGGTTCGACTTGCCCGAATAAGGCCATCGTGACTGCCTTCCGGTCCTCTGGTCCTTGATTCAAGATGCCAGATACTGGAACATCAGTTGAAAGGCCCTCAGTTGCTGAGTCGTCCGACGGTCTCTGCATCCCGTTGTAGCAGCGAAATCCGTGTCCTCGTCGCCACTGTGTGGTATCTGGAGTAACAGGCCGATGGGGTTCTTCGCTGGCACATCTTTATTGCAGGACTACCGGAGTACGACACATAGTCACGGGCGTGAGAGAGCGGCAGGATAGCAGCGGGTGGTGCAAACGGTGCGCTGGCTCAGATAGATATTGTCACGGGTGGTGATTCGTGACCAATAAACGAGAAATAAACAGAAATAAATAAACGTTTAATGTGGCGAACTTGTGCCAAAAATAAAGAAGGAAACAGAAGAAAACAGAGCGTCGCGGGCGTCGAAGTCGGCGTGTCAGCAGAATCGAGCGCTGGGGCGAGACTGACTCGACAAGGTCGCGGGCGGCCTCTTATCTAGAGTGCGTCGCTATCTCGAAGATTCGGCGAAAACGGTTCGAGCGTCGCGTGATCGGGGCGAGAATGAACACGCACTTTCTAGAAAACAAAAGCAGGATAAATGATAGAAGTTACGGGCGGTACATGAATAAACGGGAGCTTTCTGGAGGACCGCGACCGAGCGTTGCTTTCTCAGCCTTGCGCGCGGCATTACTCCCCCCTTTAAAAGTGCATCGCCCCGATGCAGTGTAAAACAAATCAAAATAAAAAAGAACGATAAACTAAAGAGTCTTTTGGAGCACAAAAGGTCCACAGTCCTATCGAGCGTAGTACGGCTTCAGGCGCACGACGTGGACGACCTCAGGTCGTGGTGGGCGGCGTGACGATGTTCGTGTTCCGTCGGGCATCACCTCGTAGTTCAGATCCCCGAGTCGACGAAGCACTTTGTAGGGTCCAAAGTAACGTTTCAGGAGCTTCTCGCTGAGACCGCGGCGGCGAATCGGTGTCCACACCCACACCCTGTCTCCGGGCTGGAAGTGGACGTCCCGACGACGAAGGTTGTAGCGGCCAGTGTCGACACGTTGTTGAGCCTGAATCCGAAGTCTGGCGAGCTGACGGACTTCTTCTGCCCTTTGGGCAACCACCTGGGCGTCGTCACTTGCGTCGACAGCCACTTCGTGGGGTAACATAGCGTTCAGCATTGTCGTTACCTTGCGCCCATGCACCAGCTGAAAGGGTGTCATTCCGGTGGTCTCTTGTACGGCCGTGTTGTAGGCAAATGTGACGTACGGCAGCACCTCGTCCCATGTCTTGTGCTCCACGTCGACGTACATGGAGATCATGTCGGCGATGGTCTTGTTGAGTCTCTCCGTTAGCCCGTTGGTCTGCGGGTGGTACGCCGTGGTGCGGCGATGGCTGGTGTGGCTGAGACGAAGGACTTCTTGCGTCAGCTGGGCCATAAATGATGATCCACGGTCTGAGATCAGGACTTCGGGAGCGCCGTGCCGGAGGACGATGGATTCAATGAAAAACTTGGCAACTTCCACAGCAGTTCCGGAAGGAAGGGCTTTCGTTTCGGCATACCGCGTGAGATAATCTGTGGCGACGATGATCCAGCGATTTCCCGACGTCGACGGCGGAAAAGGGCCAAGTAGATCCATTCCGATCTGCTGGAAGGGTGCTGTTGGCGGAGGAATTGACTGCAAGAGTCCGGCCGGCCTCGTCGGAGGTTTCTTTCGTCGCTGGCATTCATGACATGATCGCGTGTACAGGTGGACGGTTTTGGGGAGCTTGGGCCAGTAATACTTTTCACGAATACGTGCCAGGGTCCGGCTGTAACCAAGGTGTCCGGACGTCGGGTCGTCGTGGCAGGCTTGAAAGATCTCCTCCCGAAGGTCGGTCGGGATTACCAGCAGCCATGGCGAGTTGTTGTTCCCGAAGTTCTCTTTGTAGAGTACACCTTGTCTAATGGCGAAGGTCGGCAGCGCTCGTGAAAAAACACGTGGCACGGTACTCCCGCGCCCTTCCAGGTGCTCTATTAGTGCGCGCAGCTCAGGATCGTCTCGTTGACGCCGGGCCATGTCGTCGATGTTCACTGCGCCCAGAAAACACTCGTCGTCATCGTCGTCGCTGCTGCCGGAAGGTGTTGCGACGGGAGCTCTGGACAGGCAGTCGGCGTCGCTGTGCTTGCGGCCCGACTTGTAGACGACGGTCATGTTGAACTCTTGTAGTCGGAGACTCCACCGCGCGAGGCGTCCTGACGGGTCCTTGAGGTTCGCAAGCCAGCAGAGCGAGTGGTGGTCCGTGACTACCCGGAACGGGCTCCCGTATAAGTACGGACGAAACTTCGTGATTGCCCAGACGACCGCAAGGCATTCTTTTTCAGTCGTGGAGTAATTTCTCTCCGCCTTGGTCAATGTCCGACTTGCGTAGGCGATGACTCGCTCGGTGCCTTCTTGTACTTGAACCAAAACCGCGCCAAGCCCTGCGTTACTTGCGTCCGTGTGAATCTCGGTTTCCGCATCCTGGTCGAAATGTCCAAGAACAGGAGGAGTCTGCAGTCGTCGCTTCAGCTCGTCAAATGCCTGCTGCTGTTCATCGGCCCATTCGAACTTCTCGGCGTCCTTCGTGAGGTGTGTGAGCGGTGCGGAAATTCTTGCGAAATCTCGAACGAAGCGCCGATAGTAGGCACATAG